CGATCCTGGGACTCCAGGATCATGACCTGAGCCGAAGGCAGTCGCTTAACCAACTGAGCCACCCAGGCGCCCTAACTTTTAGTTTTTAAACTCTTTTTGGAACCTGGGGGGAACCATGACCACCACCATCTCCCACACCATGCATACCCTATGCTCACACCACCTGTCCTGGGCTCAGCAGCCTTGGTGGTTGTTACAGTACTTTATTAAGCAAAGAAACAGAGTTGTTTTCAACATCTCCTCTAAGGAAGGAAGCTCAGAAGGGCTGAGTCAGCCAGGCCCTGCAGGATGGGCTGCTTCTACTTGAACTTCTGCAGCAACTCGCAGATCTTCTCCTTGACCATTGGATCCAACGTTGAACAGTCCCACTCTGCCAACTTCATCAACCGGTCATGGGCCTCCCAGAAGAGGCCAGAGCCAATAGCCAGCTCCACCCTCATGCGCCACTCAGCTATCTTGGAGCTGTTGAGAAAGACATTATACTTGCTTCCCATGGGCTGTAGATAGACAAAGAGGAAGGAGTGGTCAGCCAGGAGGAGGAGGGTGGTGGTGGGGGGGGTGACAGACCAGCCTCACCTGCATCCCCTCCTACAGCCTCAGGGGCTCTCCGCATCTGCCTCCCACAAAGAGTGAGTCTGTAACCCACCGCACCCCCAGGCCTGGGCAAGAGGTCAGAGGCTATGTGATAGACGCGGGGGGAGCATTGGAAGATCGATCAGAATCTCCAGGATTCTTGGCCACTGGTCTTGCTCCAAAGCTCCGGAATCCCTCTCTGAGGTAACACAGGTGTTACCCCCCATTTCTCCAGCATGAAACTTTCCATGAGTCCTGCCTTCTACCAGGAAATCCCTTGTCCTCAGATGAGGGTGGGAAGAATTCAGTTCTTTTTTCTCTACATTGAGCCTTCCTCTGTGATCAGGCACAGCGCCTGGAATGGGAGACCCAGCAGGTAGTCTAAGAAACATGCACCCAAGAAGCTTGGGGGTCCCACAAGGGGGTGGGTGTGGGTGAAATGTAAGGGGTAGGGTGTGAAATGTAGGGGACTACACCACCTGGGGCAGAAAAACTGAAGTGGTTTTTCCTGGTGATGGTCTGCCCTTTACCCTGACCAGGGACTAAAGTGGACACTTTGCATACTGGCCAGAAATTATGTTGGCCTTTCAAGACATTGGCCAGGGTCTAAACTGGCCATCCTGCACAGCTAGGTCAGAAGTGGCCACCCTCCCCTCAGGTAGAAACCACATAAATGCCCCACACCCAGGTATGCCCCCCAAACGCACAGTGGATGCCCCTCAGATCCAGAGCCATGGGAGCTGCTTTGTATAGCTATAAGCCTGGAGCTCTAGAAAAGAAGCACTCAGCCAAAGGACACTTTGGAGGCCTCTGTACACTTCCTGGAGAGTCCAACGGGAAGAGGAGGCATCCAGGATCCTGGTGGACTCACTGAGAAATGCTGTGTTCTTCTCCCTGTCCCAGGCCTGCCCTCCAGCCCCTCCCCATGCTGAAAAATCATTGTGAAGCATGGATAATAGCGATCTTCCTTGGTTCAAAATCTGTGCTTCCTGTTACCCCTGGGTGGGGTCCAGGCACCCCATCCCTGGCTCCCACAGTCCTCCATGTCTCCTCCTTTACCAGCCTATCCTCAAGCTATGGCCCCAACGGTCACAGAGGAGTCTCACCTGTGCCCAGGCTCTGTGCGCCCCCTACCCCACTCCACACCTGCATCATCTCCACCAGGGCCACCAGGTCGGCCAGTGAGATGTGGTCCCCAGTGATGAACATCTTGTCCTGCAGAAACTTCTCCTCAAAGAGCTGCATGTTGTTCTTCGCCTCTACCAGCATCTGTTCTGTCTTCTCAGCTGGAACCTCCTCACCTGTGATCATTGGGATCAGCATCTGGCCGGGGTGGGGAAGGGGAGGGAAGAAAAGGCTGCACTCTAGTCCCATTTGACCCTCCCGTCTTCAGCCTCCTTGTCCGCTGGAGAGGTGTTGGACAGAACCAAGGACATAAAGTAGGTTCAACTCTTGTAGTGGTTCTGCTTGATAGAGATCACCTAGGGCCATTGTTCAGGGGGATTTTGAGATCCCAGCAGGAAGTAATCCTGTGATTGGTTAGTGATGTCTGTCACAGGCATGAGGTAAGAAGTAAGGGTACATATACGGGCTACTGGTCATCTTCAAATTTGGTGGTTTCTATGGGCCCTTTGACTCTGATGTTTTCTAATTCAGAATGAAATTTCTTGACTCCTATCCCAGCCTGAGTACCATCAGCTCCTTCTGGGTGCCCTTCCCCTTGTTTTTACAAGGCTTTTTCATACCCAGTGGTTCATTCCACACTCCCATCAGCTCTGTAAGGCAGGCAGGGGAGGGAGCCAAGGAAATGAGGCTCAGGAAGGGAGGGACACTTGCTTGAACTCACCCGCGGTCAGCCATAGCCTTGGTCCCACTCACCTTGATCCAGAGGATCTTGCTCATGGGCAGCTGAATGGCAGTGTGCTGCCAGGCCATGAACTCATCCACGCGGGCGCGTGTGTGCAGGTCGGGTGGGTACCAGTGCGAGGGTGTGCTGTACTTGCGGCACAAGTAGAAAAGGATGGCCACACTGCAGAAGGAGAAAGCCAGGGACACTGCCCCTTCCCTCCCCGATCCTGTTACGCCCACCACCCCAGTGTGGCCTGGGTCCAATGCAGAACCTCCAGCCGGAGGTGGGCTCTAGGCACTGACATTCTTCTAGGGGAAGGGTGAACCCAAAGGGTGCCAAGAAAGGCAGTCAGTCCGCTAGTCAGTGAGTGCAAGGGGGAGGCCAGCAGGGTGATGGGAGTTGGTGGATGGCATCAGGAAGGCAGTCTCGGTGGGGAACAACATGTACGGGAATTCAGGGGTAGTAAGAGGTAGCAATTTGGAGAAAAGGAAAAAGGGTGACCAGGAGAAGGGTGGGGAGAATGGTCAGAGACAGCCAGAGACACTGTGGAGGCACTCAGGGAGGCCCCCAGAGAGGCAGGAGGGTATGGACTTAATCCTCAAGGTTATGGTTACATAAGCAGGAGGATGAGAAAATCTGCCTTGATTTTTAGAAAGATCCCTCTGTCCTACAACTCAATAGCAAGAAAACAAATAATCCAACCAAAAATGGGCAAAGAACCTGAGGAGACACTTTCCCAGAGAAGACCTCCACATGGCCAATGGACACATGAAAAGATGCTCAACATCACTCATCAGCAGGGAAATGCAAGATAAAAACCACAATGAGATACCACCTCACGCCCATGATATAGCTGTCATCAAAAGGACAAGAAATAACAAATGTTGGCAAGGATGTGTAGAGAAGGGAACCCTTCTGCACTGTTGGTGGGAATGCAAACTGGCGCGGCCACTGTGGAAAACAATCTGGAGATTCCTAAATAGAATTACTATAGTATCCAGCAACTCCATTTCTGGATATCTATCTGAAGGAAACAGAAACAGTGTAACAAAAAGATATCTGCACCCCCATGTTCACCGCGGCATTATTTAGAAGAGCCAAGGCATGGAAACAGCCTAAGTGTCCATCGATGAATGAATGCCTAAAGAACACGTGGAGTAAAGATACAATGGAATATTATTCACCCATAGAAAAGAAGGAAATCCTGCCATTTGTGACAACATGGATGGACCTTGAGCGGTTATGCTAAGTGAAATCACACAGAGAAAAATACAGCGTGATCTCATTTATATGTGGAATCTAAATACAAACAAACAAACAAAAACAAAACCGTAAATACAGAGAACACATTGGTGGTTGCAGGAGGCGGCGGGCGAGGGGGTGAAATGGATGAAGGGAGTCAAAAGGTTCAGACTTGCAGCTATAAAATAAGTCACGGGGATGTAATTGTGACCAAAGTTAATAAGACTGTATTGTATACTTGAAAGTTGCGAAGAGAGTAGATCTTAAAAGTTCTTACCATAAAGGAAAAAAATCTACAACTTTATGTGGTGATGGACATCAACTACAACTTTCCGTGGTGATCATTTCACAATATATACATAAATCGAGTCATGATGTTGTACACCTGAAACTAATATAATGCTGTATGGCAATTACATCTCAAAAGAAAGAAAGAAAGATCCCTCTGGTACTGGGTGGAGGGGTTCTGAGGAGGGCAGAGGCCACAGAGGTATGTGGAGGGTACAGACTGGAGGCACCATTTGGAGGGGATGGTCTTGCTCTTGGCTGGCGGAGGGCAGGAAGGGAGGAATGCAGGGTGGACACAGGCGTTTGAGGTGTCTAGGACATCTGGAGACCTGGAGAGTCCTGATATGACATCGAAGTCCAAGGAGCAGGTGCCTACCCGCCCTACCCTGCTCCCCCGCCCCAACCAACACCGTCTGTGCAGAGTCAGAAGATGAGGAAGGAGCAGAGATGGGTAGGGGGAGAGGATAGGAAGGAGCAGCCTGGGAGGGAGGAGGGAGGGGGGAGTCCCCAGAGGCCCAACTCTATAAGAAGGGGGGAAATATCAAGGATGGAAATCCTAAATCCTAAATCATCTCAGCTGATCTCACAATAACCCTGTAAGGTGTGTACCAGTATGCTTCCATTTGAGGAAACTGAGGCTTGGAGATACAACTAACTTGCCAAAGACACACAGCCCATGAGTGACAGGATCGGGGTTTGATCCCAGCAGCCAGGCCCCATGCCTGAGCCTGAGCCTGAGCCTGAGCCCAAGCCCCGCCACTGTTCTTGACCACCTGGCATAGCGTGTGACCTTGGCCAGGCCGACCAGGGGGGTGGAAGGAATGGATGGAGTCAGGTGGGAGGAGAGTGAATGGGCAGCAGAGATGAGAGGATGGTCCCTAGCCTCCACGAAAAGCCTGAGGGGCAGGCCAAGGCTTGCCCCTCCCCATTTTGTGACCTCTGGGAACACACCCTTGGTGGCCAATCCCGGCTCATGACTGTTCTGGGCAGACCTGTCGGTGGCCGCCAGTCCCAGCTGGCTCCTCCCAGGCTGTCTGTAGCCCGTGCCACTCTAACCAAGCCCACAGCCCCCACTGCCACACTCTGTGTCTCTGTCCGGCACCTTGAGGCTGGGGCCCCCAATGCTCATTCTCGGCATCAGCCCTCCTGGCTCCTGCACCGGGAGCGCCGGGGCCAAGTGGGGCCCACCAGCATATTCTCGAACTCTTCTTGCCACCGTAGCAGGCCAGAGCTCGCTATGCCCGGAGGTGCCCCATCTCTTGGGGGGCAGGCACCCGGCTGGCATCACAGTTCCTGGTCTGACCCTGGAGTGGGCACCTGGCCTTCTGTCTGCCTAGCACCCTCTCACCGACTCTTCTCGCAGGGTCCTGCTCTTTCATCTTTAATCCAGTGATTCGGGGGAGGGGGGTGGTTGCTGGTAGTCAGGGGTCCCAGTGCCATGGCCAGTGAGTGGTCCACAGGCAAGAGGAGGCTCAGACTATGCCCATGCATGTCCTTCGCTAGGAACATCAGATACCCTGAGAAGGAGGGGCTGATCCTTCTCTAGACAGAGGGACACGGAGATGGGCAGGGGACACTCTAGCCCAGATTCCCTGAGCTGGAAGGGTGGGGAGGTGAGGGTCACCAGAGCCAGTAGGGCCGTCCTGCCACCAGCAGGCCCAGAGCGGGGCAGCGCAGGTGGGGGCCAAGCCTCGGTGTCCCTGGTTCCAGAGGGTGGGGCCACCACCCTAAAAGGCCCAAGGCACAGAGCATGGAGCCAACAAGGATGATTCTCAAGCCTTAATATGTAAAGCAATTTACCGGCTAGGTTTCAGACTTGGTTGGGATGCATAAGATTTTTTTTTTTTTCCTTCCTATGTCTGTGTTTGGGAATAGGAATATCCATCTTGTGCACGTCCCCCCGTTGTATTTTTATTATTATTATTATTTTTAAAGATTTTATTTATTTATTTGAGAGAGAGAGAGAGAGAAACAGCATGAGAGGGGATAGGGTCAGAGGGAGAAGCAGGCTCCCCGCTGAGCCGGGAGCCCAATGCGGGACTCGATCCCAGGACTCCTGGATCATGACCCGAGCCGAAGGCAGTCGCTTAACCAACTGAGCCACCCAGGCGCCCCAGGCGCCCCTTTTTATTATTATTTTTAAGTAATGTCTACAACACCCAATGTGGGGCTTGAACTCAAGACCCTGAGATCAAGAGTCACATGCTCCACCAACTGAGGCAGCCAGGCGCCCCTCCCCATTGTATTTTAGAAGCAGGACAACTTGTCATCTGGTTTCCCAGGTTCACAGAGAGAGCAGAACTTTGCGCCGGGATGAATCATACCATGAATCTCACCCAACCTGATTTGGATAATGTAGACACTGGCATTTTGGGCTAAGAGTTGATGCCAGAGTGATTAAGACTTTTGGAGATGTTGGGATGAGGTGAATATATTTTGCACATGGGAAGGACATGAATTTGGGGGGCCCAGGGGACAGACTGTTAGGGGTTGAATTGTGTTTCCCAAAGATGTGTTGAAATCCTAACGCCCTAGTACCTCAGAATGTAGCCTGATTTGGAAATTGGGTATTTACAGAGGTAATCAAGTTAAAATGAGGTCTTAGAGGGGGGCCTGGCTAGCTCAGTCAGAAGAGCATGTGACTCTTGAGCTCAGGATTGTGAGTTCAGGCCCCACACTGGGTGTAGAGATTACTTAAAAATATAAAAGTAAAAATAATGTGAGGTCTTAGAGTAAACTCTAATCCATTATGACTCGTGTTCTTATGAAATGGGGACATTTGGACACAGAGACATGCACAGACGGAAGGCAAGATGGCCATCTCCCAGCCAAGGAATGCCTGAGGCTGTCAGAACCTAAGACAGAGGCCTGCCATAAAGCTTCCCCAGCTTCAGAGGGAGCACAGCTCTACCAACACCTTGATTTTCACTTCTAATCTCCAGAACTGTAAGACAATACATTTCTATTGTTCCAAGTCATTCAGTCAGTGGTAATTTGCGACAGCAACCCTAGGAAAATAATCCAGGCCCTGGGCCCCCCGAAGTCCTGTGGTCCACTTGGAAGATGTGCTTTAAGACACCGCCTTGGAGGCAGCCCGAAAAACAGTCTGCCCCAAATCTTACCAAACTTCTACTTCCAGTGACCAGTTCACAGGAAATGAAAGGACAGAAAGACCGTGTAAACATGACACCCTGAGAATGTGATCGGCAAAACTCAGACTGTGGGAAACTCCACAGGACAAAGGACTCGGTTTCTTCAACCACAACAAAAACGCAAAGGCAAGGGGCGCCTGGCGGGCTCAGTGGGCGGAGCTCAGGCTTCTCGATCTCAGGGTCCTGAGTTCAAGCCCCAAGTTGGGCGTGGAGACTACTTTTAAAAAATGCAAAGGCAGGGGCGCCTGGGTGGCCCAGTAGGTTAAGTGTCTGCCTTTGGCTCAGGTTGTGATCCCGGGGTCCTGGGATTGAAACCCAAGTCAGGCTCCATGCTCAGCGGGAAGTCCGCTTCTCCCTCTGCCTCCACCCTGCTTGTGCTCGCTCGCTTTCAAATAAATAAACCTTAAAAAAATTGCAAAGGCAGGGGCAGCTGGGTGGCTCAGTCGTTAAGCGTCTGCCTTCGGCTCAGGTCATGATCCCAGGGTCCTGGCATCGGGCTCCCTGCTCAGCGGGGAGTCTGCTTCTCCCTCTCCCATTCCCCCTGCTTGTGTTCCCTCTCTCACTGTGTCTCTCTCTGTCAAATAAATAAATAAAATCTTTAAAAAAAAAAATTGCAAAGGCAAAAAAAGTGGGTCATGGAGGGAACTGTAGATGAAAAGGGACTCAAGAGGCAGATCACCAGCTGCAATTCTTGGAAGTTTATTTGGAACCGGATTCAAATGCTCAAGCTACAAAGAAACTATTTGTGAGATAGGCAGAGACTTTTGAACACAAACAGGATATTAGTTGAAATCCAGGGATTATTGTTAATTTTACAAGGTGTCATCATGGTATTGATGCTTTTTTTTTTTTTTTTTAATTTATTTGAGGGGCACCTGGGTGGCTCAGTTCTTAAGCCTCTGCCTTCGGCTCAGGTCATGATCCCAGGGTCCTGGGATCGAGCCCCACATCGGGCTCCCTGCTCGGCAGGAAGCTTGCTTCTCCCTCTCCCAGGCCCCCTGCTTGTGTTCCCTCTCTTACTGTGTCTCTCTCTGTCAAATAAATAAATGAAATCTTAAAAAAAAAAAAAAAGATTTATTTGAGAGAGAGAGGGCATGTGAGTTGGGGGGGGTGGGCAGAGGGAGAAGGAAAGAGAATCCCAAGCAGGCTCAATGCCCAGTGCAGAGCCCACTGGGCTTGATCTCACAACCTTGTGATCATGACCTGAGCCGAAATCAAGAGGCAGACACTTAACTGAGCCACCCAGACGCCCCTGATGCTTTTTTTTTTTTTAAGAGCTCTTATGTCTTAAAAGTATATTCGTAAACATTTATGGATGAAATGATAGGGTGGCTGGCAAGCAGGGGAATAGAGTGGGCTACAGGTGATGGAAAAATGGGCTCCCCAAGAGGATCACTGTTGGAATGGGGTGAGGGGTACCATGTGGAGGTCGCTATAATCCTCATTAGTTAGGATTCATTCTACTTTGGTGTACATATAAAATTGTTCACAGTAAATAAGAAATAAGTACTAGCAGTCGGCTCCACGTGGATCTCCCGGGAGGAGCAGAGACAGATGGTGGGGTGTGGGGCCCCAGGAAAGACTTACCTTTCAGATAAGATAAATTTTCCATCTTTGAGGCTGGGTAGCTTCTTCAGGGGGTTGATCTCTCTGTATTCTTTGCTGTGGTGGTGACCTGGGAGGGGCAGGAAAAGTAAAGGTCTGAGGGTGCTGGGACTCCAGGGAAGAGAGAACCAGGTCTCCCAGAGGCAGAATGCCTTCCTCCCCATTTTCTCTAGAAGAGGAAACAAGCCCAGAGGAATACCATGGCTCTTCAGGTCAAAGGGCAAGTCAGCGGCAGAACAGGGATTAGGATCAAGACTCCTGCCCCCATCCCAGGCTCGGTGACCAAGACAACCTGTTGGCTCACAGAAGTTGAAGGCCTCCAGCCCCCACTCCCAACTCCAGGCCTGAAGCCACAGCCCATGAATCAGCAGAAGCCCTAGAAGCCTGGATCCTACCCCTTATAGCCCCCTCCAAAAGGGGCAGGGCAGCCAGGAGCCCCAGCACACAGCTGGAATTCAAAGGGAACCTCTCATATGCAATCAATCTATGGGGAGTTTTGTTTTGTGGTTGAGTTTTGGTGGTTTTTTTCAAGGTCATTATTTTTTTAACATTTTTTAAAATTTAAATTCAATTAATTAACATATGATGCATTATTAGTTTCAGAGGTAGAGATCAGTGATTCATCAGTCTTATATAATACCCAGTGCTCATTACATCATGTGCCCTCCCCAATGTCCATTACCCAGTTACCCCTCCCCTCCAGCAACCCTCAGTTTGTTTCCTATGATTAAGAGTCTCTTATGGTTTGTCTCCCTCTCTGATTTCGTCTGGTTTTATTTTTCCCTCTCTTCCCCTATGATCCTCCATTTTGTTTCTTAAATCCCACATATGAGTGAGATCATATAATTGTCTTTCTCTGATTGACTTATTTTGCTTAGCATAATACCCTCTAGTTCCAGCCATGTCGTTGTAAATGGCAAGATTTCATTTTTTTGATGGCTGAGTAGTATTCCATCGTGTGTACACACACACACACACACACACATATACCTCATCTTCTTTTTCCATTCATCTGTTGATGGACATCTGGGTTCTTTCCATAGTTTGGCTATTGTGGACGTTGCTGCTATAAACACTGGGGAGCAGGTGCCCCTCGGATCACTACATTTGTATCGTTGGGGTAAATACCTAGTAGTGCAATTGCTGGGTCATATGGTAGCTCTATTTTCAACTTTTTGAGGAACCTTATTTTTTTTGTTTTGTTTTATTTTTTTAAGTAAGCTCTGCTCGGGGCACCTGGGTGGCTCAGTCGATTAAGCATCTGCTTTCGGCTTATGATCCCAGGGTCCTGGGATCGAGTCCCACATCGGGCTCCCTGCTCAGCGGGGAGTCTGCTTCTCCCTCTCCCTCTGCCTTTCCCCCCTCCTCTTGCTCTTGCTTGCTCTCTCTCAAATAAATAAAATCTTAAAAAAAAAAAAAAAAGGTGAACTCTGCTCAACATGGACTTGAACTCAGTTTTTTTTTCTTTTTTTTTTAAAGTAAGCTCTCCACTCAACATGAGCCTGAACTCACAACCCGGAAATCAAAAGTCTACACCCTCTACCAACTGAGCCAACCAGGTGTCCCGATCTATTGGGAGTCTTAACCCTTCCACAGCCAGCTGCCTCTGGCTGGAAACATTTCTGGGGCTGGACTCACACTTCATTTCAGAGCATCAGGTCTCCTCCTCTATGTTCTAGAGACTTCTGCCTCTGCGACCTGAGCTTTTAAGAGTCCCTTCCATGATGGGCGCCTGGGTGGCTCAGTCGGTTAAGCGACTGCCTTCGGCTCGGGTCATGATCCTGGAGTCCCGGGATCGAGTCCCGCATCGGGCTCCCTGCTCAGC